AAGTCTAGGTTATATTATTTTTTAAACCAGAATGATAAAAGTTTTTGTTTGTTTTGTTATTTAGATAATGGTCTGTTAATGACAGGGTGTCTTTTACCTGATTTTCAGATTTATAGCAAATCTTCATAAAGCCAACTATGATTTATTCATTTTTTACCTGTATTTTACACTATAGCATTTTTATATCCAGACTAATCCATTCTATTCTTAATCTTCCTAGTAGAAAATTATATCATATTTCAATAGAAGTTTTAAAATAAACTTTTTTCTGTCTCATACACAAATAATACATAATTCTTAAGAACATATACTGTACTATTTAAAAGTTATCTATTTCAAAGTGCCTAATAAATCCTTTCATACCACACCTTTGATGGGCTTCATAATTTCTTTTTAGACAGATAAGAAATTTGGGAAAACAGAACATAGATTGGATTATTCTCTGGCTAGTGGACAGGAAATAACTTGCTTAAAAGTCTAATTTTGTATAGATTGTCTTATTTTGGAATCAAAGCTATTATAGAAACTTAAGAATCAAAATTACAAATGCATAATAATATATAAATAATTTCAAATGTTAATAACCCATGAGAAATCAGAGCCTTTAAAATAAAAAATGTCCTAAGGATAAAAATTTTTTGTAGGGGGAGGGGTTGGTGGTCTGTGACTTACTATGAAGATTCTAATTTTTGTCTTCTTATTTCTTCATTATTTTTCACAACTCTTTCCTTGATTGTCTCTATCTTTATATTGGTTTAGTTTATAATCGTATTATCTTTCTCCAGAAGCGCATTATTTATTTTTTCTTGACGCACCTCTCATTTTCATTTCTTTCCTCTTTTTTTACTTTGCCGTAATAATCACAAATGTTGAGCTCACAAGTAAAACTTTTTAAAAAATCTCCTCCTCCTAAGCATAACTACCATAAACAATCTATAGCTCTACGTGTATATACTGAGTGATATTGGATGGAAGATAAAAACAATTTCTAAGAAAAAAGTTTTATTTCCTATCATTAATAACTTATACTTAAAAAAAAAATTGGCGCAATAAAATAGAGTTAAAAATGCTTATCTCGGGACCAGCCGGGTGGCACAGTGGTTACATGCTCATGTTCCGCTTCAGCAGCCCGGGGTTCACAGGTTTGGATTCCAGATGCGGAAATGGCACCACTTGGCAAGCTATGCATGTAGGCGTCCCACATATACAGTAGAGGAAGATGGGCATGGATGTTAGCTCAGGGCCAGTCTTCCTCAGAAAAAAGAGGAGGATTGGCAGCAGTTAGCTCAGGGCTAATCTTCCCAAAAAAATAAAAAATGCTTGTCTCTCAGGGTGAACATCATTAGATAATTCTAAAAACAGAATAGTTCAGTCCCTAGGGCAAACAAACAAACAGAAATTTTTGTTTAATCTATATAATCTTAATCTAAATCAACATAAAATATATCATGGGAGAAGGAGGGGAGATCTACATTAGTCATTCCATAGATGAGAACCTAAATTTAATGAAAAGTCCTGAGCGTCAGAGAATTTAATACCAGCTGTGTTGTTTTCTAATTTATGTCTCCAGAAATCCATTGACCTTCTCTAGACCTGAGTCCTCTCATCAATAAAACAAACAAACACTAAATATACCACCTTTTCTCAGTTTTTCACCAGACATCTTGGAAGTAAATAAAAGTGTGAAGGCATAGACCTAGTGTTAGGGGTGCCTACCTTAATGTGGTTTCTACAAGCCTGAAATTTCTTTGAAGTTTCATATTTTATTTTAAAAATTAATATAAAGTTGGCTTTCTATGCTAAAATCTATATGTTTGCTTTAATAAAAATATAACATTTACAGCTACTTATTATTGGCAAGGGAGGTGAGGGTGGGATGGGATAGTCTTCTACCTTGTTAACAGTGTAAATGATTTTATAGTGAGCTCAGTTTTGGAGAAATGGGCTAAATCAACAATCCATATTGTGTTAACATCCAGACAGTTTCTTTTATTGCATGATATTGCTAGAATCCAAAGGCGAATACAAATAGCAGAGTCATCCTGGTAAATAATCCCTGATGATAAATTCCCCAGTTACCCCCTGAAGAAAGATTCCTGGAATGTTGCAAAAGAGGTGATACAGTGCAATATTGTCACACTGTTTTTAATGGATATTTTGTTCAATATATTTTAGTTGAGAGCCTGAATAGAAGATAAAATGTTTTGGATCCTCTGGTTTTTCTTTTGCAATCTCAGTGAAATACTTCTAAGAAGATTTCTTCAGGGTAGAAAAATTATTAGTGTTAAGGTTTTTTGGTTTGCAACTAATTTTAATTTTCAATATATTTAAATAAACTAGTAATCTCAACTGGCTAACAATCCCCACAACTCTTTACATCCAATTCTCAAACTTCATTTATATTGCAGTGATCTTATATGCAATGTAAACATTTGCAGTTTAACTTCTCTTAGTTACTGATAGAGAATGTTTAGGCTCATAGAAAAATATGTATAAAATTAGCTAATGATTTGAGGCTCTTATAATTATCATAAACAGTAAATTAATTCATCTTACCCAGATGCTAATATTTTGTGATTTCTTTTAAATTCTTATCAAAGAAAAATAATAATCAAGCATTTGGATTAGCTGTGAACTTCTTTTATTTTATACTGCTCTCCATCATAATTGATAATTAAGGATTGACTAGAATAAATGAAAGCATTACATTTTAAAATCTATTGATTTGGCTTTTCTCTACTTCTCAAGTTTTTGTTTATGAGACAAATCTTTTTCAAATTCTTTCTGAAGTTTTTCAGAATTATTACCTCTTTCAGGGACCACAAAAAAATCACATGACACTTGAATTACAACCACTTCTGGCTTTAATAACCACATTGTTTTTCTAAAGTCTTCCTCTTATGATAGTTTCAAATTTACAAAGTCACTTTATATATAGAAAATTGATGTCAAGCATTGACAGATGAGCTGTCTGCTTCCAAAAATCGTTGTTTAAATTGGTATTATAGTCTATCTGTTTTTCACGTTCAGAGTTCAATGGTGACTATCTTTTCTCTTATAATTCATTCTTTTAAGTTTTTGTACTTGCACTTGCATTTGGAACTGAAATGGCATAGGAATATTTTCTTCCATAAATATAATAATATAAAATTTCTTCCATAGATGGAGAGTTAGATAGACAGAGACATATATACATGTACATCCTCTTATAAGCATCACTTTTTTTCTAACCCATTTATTCCAGGTATATTAAGGGAATACAACTTTAAATTAGAAATCAGGAACCATGGATGTTGTTCCTAGATTTGTCATTAATGTTCTATGTAACCTTGAAGAAGATACCTTATGTTGCCAGACTTGATGTAATTTTAAGCCTTCTGCTAATAAAAGACAATGTCGAAAGTAGTATTCACTTGTTACTATATAACAGTTCTGAAAATCTTCAGTTTCTGAAAGTTTTCAGAAAACAGCAGAGGCATTAGACTTTATATTTTTTTAGGAAACTACCTAGTTTATCTTTATAATCAAGATATTGTGAGTCTCCATTTAAAATGGGAAACAGCTTTTGATATAAAGATGTTCTCTGAATTCAAAGAAAATAACACAAATGAATGACTAGGTATTATGAACTCCCTGTCCATCCAGAGGCCCTCTCTTACAGAGTGTTGCTGTTCTAACTAGTATCCATTGTTTCTAAATTTGAAAATTCTGTTATACCAAGACGAGTGAGAATTGGTGATTGTCTTTTGGGCATAACATTTAGTTAACGTTGAAGATAAAAGTAAAAAGCTTTTTATATCAAGTAAAACCAAAAGTTGACACAATTCTTATGTACCAAGAGGCTTTTTTTCAAAATGAAAATTCAATTTTCTCAATATGACTCCTAAATAATCTCCATATGCTATCAGAGATGTCCTAAAAGGGATAAGACAATCTATAGCTTGCCTCCAGGAAATATAATTTTGTAACATGGTCAGGTTTATTATTTTTCCCGAGGAGTTTAACACTGGGAACTTGGCATCACGTTGATACTTCCTCTACAAGCAGGAACATCACAGCTAACTTGACCGTACTGGTCTGAACGGAGACCATCATTCTGCATGTGTAGGAAGGAATTGGTAATGGAAAAAGCACTTGGTCTGAAGCTCCGTTCCTTTCCTCCCCCATTTTGTTTGTTTGTCTTCCTCTTTAACCAATATATTATTTCTTGTTACAGCTCTATTAAAAAGCAAAAGAATTTCTAGTTTATACCTTATCTAATAAAACACTTTGTGTTGAGAATCTTCCTTTTCTCATTTATATAGTGATATGAAACAAGTTTTTAAAATAACGCTTTTATTTTTTTTTTTCCCTGTCTTACCTGAGGAAAATTCAACTGAAATAACAGAAAGCTTTGAGGGAGTGAATGTATCTAACATTGGTCTGGCATTAAAATTTTCTGGTTGGGCAGCACAATTGTTTAATTGGGAATCTCAGTGATAGCTGAACAACCTCAATGCTTGGGGTCTGCAAGCAGAGGGGCTTCACTCTGTCACCTATCAAGAATGATGCTTGTCAGGACTTTGTTTCCACTTAGGGAACGCTCATGTTTCTAGTCATACCATTGATGTTTTCTGATATTACAATGGAATAGACACTAAAACACTGAAAGAGACAAAATTCTTTGCATAGGTATATTTGTAATTCTTTGTTTTTTATAAACCAAATGCAAATGTAACACTACTCCAGATACTGCTTCATCAGAGGTCCCCAAGATAACCAAAAGTAAGTGCCCATTTCCTCATTTCAGGAATAGTACCATAACAAAGTGAATTTTAGTGACTAGCCTGTTTGCAGAGCATGTCATATAGCCTCTGAGTTAGTTAACTCCTTGGCCTCCTAAGAGGTCCCTCAAAGAGTCAATTGATGTTTTTGCATGTATTACTTACTAATGTGTAGAAAATTTTTTAAGTTCACTTTTTCTTTATTCTGTCTTTTTTACCCATCTTCCCTCATTGTAGCAAATTAGACGGCCGGATGAAAGCAAAGGAGTTGCTAGTAGAGTTGGATCCCTCAAAGTAAATATGTTTCTAACATTTTTTGGCAAGATTTCGTCTATAGCCTACCCTTCTTCCTTTTTGGAGGGTGGTGGGAGGAAGGGGGCTTTTTCCATTTTTCACCATCCCATTTTTTTTTCTTTTAATATTTTTATTGGCTGTTGGGTCATATTTTTTTTGTTTGTTTCAGCTACACATAGAGCAACCAGCTGAAGGCAAGCTGCCAAATAACTAGCTTTGAATGGCACCACAAACAAGACAAAGGGCAACTGCCTCATTACAGGTGCCTATAATTTGGGGCTCTAGAGTAAACCGTTCCTCTGATTGATGTCACTGACTGTGTGTTAAGTTCCTGTAACACAGAGAACTAATGTTTATTTTCAGAATATTATCTCCCCTTTATACTTTTTTTGTAAAAAGTAATTGTGTTATTTTAGTGTCATTACCATTTATAGTTCATTGCAGAAAAATAATTATGAGTTAGTCACATGTATTTTATGTACATAATCTTAAGAATTAAAAGAAAAAGAATTTTATATGATGCTAGTATAATGGGCTCACATATAGGTAATAGTATTTAAGCATTCTTAATATCCTTTGTTTTCTTTTTTAAAAGTTAAAAAAATTGATATAACAATTAACTGAAACCGATATATGTCTAAATGTTTGCCCATGTGTGTATGTGATCTGCTAATATCCAACTTAAAGATTTCTGATCTGATGGTCCCATTTGCTAGTTGTTAAATATTCATTTGGTCAATATATCTTGGGCACTCAATACTCTAATATTTAATCACAATGAAAAAGTGAACAAGTTATCATCCTTAAGAAACACAGACATAGCCAGTGATCACTTTTAATGCTGCCACCATAAATGCAAGTTAGGAAATTTGCTGCATTTTAAAAACATGCAGAGGAATTGCCCCCAAAATTAACCACTTCTTATATCTCAATCCCATTTGTCCTTACAGCAATAGTAACTGTTAAAGTAATCAAAATGACAGATCATTTACTGCCCTGGGATGTCCCAAAATTCAGTAAAAACCTGGAGGCCTAATATAAAGTCATTTCAAATTACACACCACAAATTTATTTCCATTTAACAATTTATGAAGCACTAATTTCTGCACTCTTCCTCTCCTTGCCTCTTCTGCCTTCTTAATTTTACTTTTTTGTTGTTGTTTATTTGTGTCTGTGCACGTGAGTGCACATGGATGAAGGTGTGTCTGTATGTTTGTGTCCTTTATTCCAGACAAGCCATCCTCTCTGTTCTCTAACACTGCTATATACTGGGTAGCTTTTTTTTTTTTTGATGTTATTTCACTAAGGATAATCAGGGGCTGGGAAGTGTTGATTATATGCCTATTAGAAAAACAAGGCAAGTTAAAATTATTCAGTCATAAAAATATGAGTTTATGTATCCTGATGATATATTAGTAGCATTCCTCACTGTCTTCCTGTGAGGTATCATATTTTACCCTGATGTTTAAGAGAAGATAAATCCATTCTTGTTTAGACTGGATTATGACTCAAAAAGGTGCAGTGCGACATAACTTTGTGAAAATTACTGATAGTGAAATCAAGATAAAGTGGCATCCATAACTGCAGCACCATCCGCTATAAACTGGATTGTGTGAGTGAGTGTGCGCATGTCTAATTAGATCTAAGTTCGACCTTTGGATGTACAGAACTTAAGTTATAATTGTATGTGTATTGTTTTTAAGAGTATATACAGTATGATTATGTATATACACATATGTATAAAAACAAAAGAATATTTTAGAGTTCAATCACTTTACTTTAAGATGGATGCAGCCTTAAATCAAAAAGTGTGTTTGGGAAAGAAAGACAAATTTTATAATTCTTAAATATCTTTACTCCATATTTCTACCAAATAGAATATTTTAAAGTGAATCTCTAGGGGATTATAAGGGTAGTTATAGTATTTATTTTCTCTAACACTTTGGGGAGAAAAGATGCTATAATTAAAATGTTGGCTTCCTAGTCACGGGTTTATTGATCATTTATTCTTGTGTTACACAAAGATCTTTGATGTTTTGAAATGTTTGCCAAAGGCAGTGAGAAATGTATAACGCTATGATCTTATTTTTAAAAGGAAAAAGGAAAACTGAAAAGAGAACAAGTTGCTTTTTCAATTCATTTTCTGATGTTTACATGTAGCTCCATCGAAAGCTGGAGGAGCTCAGAGATCACCTAGAAGGCAATGTGAAAGGATACTCTCTCAGAGTAAATGTACGATTTCACTCGGTGATTTTTTTTTTCCTAAACTTCTGCTGACTGGTAATCCAAATCTAATTGGTTTGTCCTCTCATCTCCATCTTTTTTACTTTCTGTCTCTTTTCTCCCTATCTCCTTCTTTCTTTTCTAGCTGCAGCTTCATGCTCACATTTACTAAATAAACATTAAATTGGCAGGGTAGAGGACTCTGAAACCACACTAACATTGCAGTTAATTTAATAACTTTCTGGCTCCAAAGCAAAATAAAAACTTTCTTTTCAAACTCTGTTTCTTATACAGTTGTGTAATTTTCTGAGGATCTTTTCATGAGACTTCATTGGATCTTTTCCATTGGCTTTGTCTTCTACCCCTTGTTTGATGTGTCAGCAGGATTATAAATTATGGGCTGGATCCAAGTGATAGAGCTTTGGTGATTCAATTTAAATTGTCAAGGAAAATGGTCAATGTTAGAATGTCATCGTAGGCAATCTGGCAAGTAGACATATTTTTTCTGAGTTAATAGGCTTCTTTTAACTCAGACTCTTTGGGAATAACTATAAGATATCATCTTTTGTTTAAAAATAAGAAAATCAGGCAGTAAGCATCTTCACCAGGAACACCATCATGTAACATCTTACAAATACTTGAAATAAAAGCTAATATACCTAAGACAATACTTTGAAGGAGAACATAACTTAGAGCCACTGAATACTGTACATACATCATATTGGCAATTGTAACAAAAGGATTTTTTGTGACCAATAGTTTAGACTTAGAATGCTTGGTCCTTCTGAATATATCCTTTCAAGATAAATGGAAGTAAAATATCTAAAATGGTATATGGTGTAAATATGGCAGAAGAAAAGCTAAATTATTGCAGTAAATAATTTCTGGCTCCATTTAACACTGCCCTCCCATTCCTGAGACTTTTTTAAAAGTTCATATGAATCCTAGCCCTGATTTACTTCTCCCAAGATTATTGCTACACATTTAATTCATATTGCTGTAATAGTTATACTATAAAGGGTAGAATAAAAAAATAATAGTGATATGATAATTCTCTGGTTTCTCAGCTTGTTTTTAATTGTATATCATATGTAGTTTTGAATGTCTCTATATTAAATTTCTGATCATTAAAGTCCGAAGTTGTTTTTATTAATATCAATCATTAAATTCTGATAGCTAAACAGAGAAGGAAATTAATACAAATGTCTCATTTTTCTACTTCTTTCTTTTGGGCCAGTCCTTCTTTTCTATGCGTATTTTATAGAATTTGAAAGTTGATCCATAACCCCGGAATCTAATTCACTGTTTAAAAAAATAAGATTAGTATGAATTTTATGGAACTAGTCTAAACATACCTGGGTTTTATTCTAGAAACCCCTAAAAAAGATTCTGATAATGTTAATATGTGCATTTAGTGTCATACTCTTCCCTAACCAATCCTGAGAAGTGATACTATTTTTCTTTCAATCAAACTGGGACTAGAAAGTTGAGATTTGCTAAGATGTATATGGTTGGGAGTTAATGTTAGGTCAGGGTTAAATTAAAAGTTTTGTGCTTCGAAAACTGGGTTATCTCATGCCACTTGTCAGTTTCTTTTTTCCAACACCTATACTGCAAGGTAGAGTACATAATAATTCATCTCAGTGTCTTAATCTTTTATTTCATTTCACTGGGTTGCACTTTGTTCTGATTACCTTTTTTCTAAAATGATTGAATGTGAGGTATATCATTCTAAGATTCCCATTAACTAGAAAAGTATAGGGAAGAAAAACTATCAAAAAGTAAATAATATCTTCTCTAGAGAGTTCAGCTAAGAAAAGATACAAATCAATTGCTTAGCTGAATGTTGTCTCTCTCCCTCCCCTTTAATTCCTACTACCCCAGCATGCCTTAAAATATGCCTTGTATATTAAAAGCTGTTGCTTAGAAGCAGAATAGTTATTCTCAGTACCATAGGCTATATAAACAAATTCTGTTTCTAAAATGAGATAAATTGGCATAGAGTGACCATTCCATTTTGTGAAAATTTATTGTAGGTATACACACACAAGAGCGTTTTAATTCATTGAAACGTTGCTAAATATTTTAGGAAGATGAAAGATTCAGAACCATGTTGCCACTTCAATATTTTGTTTAGTAGTTAGAGAATGTGAGACATCATTCAGAATTTTGGGATAAGGATTTAATTAAATCATCAGTGCTTAAACTGGTAACATCTATACAATATATTATTTTTAGAGAAGAAAGAATCCTGCAACCTTATTTATTATGGATAATCAATGATATAAAGTAGAATATTCTATTCAGATGTAATTTTTGGAATAATACTAAATTTTATTTATTTTTCATATGAAAATATACTTTTTTATCTTACATTAACTCTAGCAAAAAGTAGGATGTATTAGATTCTTGAATTCTAAATCAAGAATGTATCATCTTTTTCTGTATGTTTTACTAAACTGAAATGTTCTGAACCCTAAATGGGTTTTTAGTAATTTTAATAATAATAAAGTTGTCATCTGGTATGTAAGCAGAGTTTGCCTAATTTAATGACCACAAATATTACTATAAATCTTTAGATTGATAATGTGTTGAAAATGACTGTAGAGTGAAACCATATAAAGGGAAAAATTATTTTTCTATTTAATCAAATGCTTGAATCTAGTGGGAAGAATATTAAAAGTAATGCACAAGATTGAAGAATAGTGCAGACAGTTCTTATCCTATGGAAAACATAAGATAAAATAATGCAAACTAATACTTTGTTTAGATAATATAAGTCAAAGCAAATTTACAAAATTGGAGTTAATTAGTTAAAGAGCAATGGGACCCTGGGAAGTTTGAATGTTAAAATATTCAGAAAAAGTAGATCAATGCTCATGAAATAAAGACAAGTGGAAAGAAAAGAGTAAAAATACCTCAAAGCCACAAGTTTTGTATTTTCACTTAGTCTATGTAATATCATAGTAAATTTCTGTTCAGCTACACATATATAGAGATAGATTTGGGGTAACCAAATATGTTAATTTTTAAAGGCTTTGACAGACTATGATTTGGGAATCATGATTTCTGAGGACTGATTATTGGCACATAACTGAACTAACAAGAAAGATGAAGTTGAAGAAATATAAGTACTTGCTATGCTAACACAAATAAAGGGATGGTATTATTTGAAGTCGAAAAAGTTAAGGAAGCAGTTATCATTTAAAATAAGACTATGTTTTTAATAAGTTTAAGAAAAATATCTGAATCAAGTCAGAAAGTAATGTCTCTTGAAGAGTGATTTTTAAACTTTTAACTTAGTTGTCTGAAGGTTGAAACAAGACTAGTATGAAATAGGGCTAATATAAATAATGAATTAGATGGTTGTGATTTTATAGATCTTTTAAGATCATTATTTTCATTCTAGCCTTAGTTCTGAGCTAACTCATCTAACACTTTTAATGAATTTTCTTTGGGTTTCTTTGTACTTTTGTATTCATCAAATTAATGTTGTAGCTCAGGGTTCAGCAAACTACAACCCTTCGGCCAAACCCTGTTTCTCTTTTGTGGGCACACAAGCTAGGAATGATTTTTGCATTTTTAAATGATGGGGGGAAATCAAAAGAACATCGTTTCATGATGTGAAAATTATATGAAATTCACATTTCAGTGTCCAGAAATAAAGTTTTATTGAAACATAGCCACTCTCACTCATTTTCACATAATTTCTGGTTGCTTTTGCACTACAACAGCAGAGTTGAACAGATGCAGCAAAAACCATACAGCATGCAAAGCCTAAAATATTTACTATTTGACTGTTTACAGAAGAAGTTTGCTGAGACCTCCTATAACTGGAAAGTTAATCCGCTGAAATCTTCTACCCTTACCTTTTTATTCTTCCTTTTTTCATTGTGTTTTCTACCTGCTCTTCACATGATACACACACACATGCACACAAAGTAAACCCACCATGGAATTACCACTAAACCCTTCAAATGTAGAACTATCATATGGATAAAGTGTAGATTATAAATTCTTCCTTTTTCGGCAGCCCCTTACAGAGATTTATAGTATGAAGATAAAGTCACTTCTTGCTCTCTCAAACTTTTTAAAAATGTGTTTTTAAAGTATTTTTTGCTGTACACATTGCATTTTTCTGTTTATTACTTCATTACATCTTAATAAAGATATTTTCTCTTAAGACCATGATCACCTTTTGATTTCTGCTAAATTTCCTATTTGACCGCACCTAAAGTCATACCTTCTTATAGAAAATTTCGTACAAGTGGGAAAGACACCCTGACATAATCAAGTAATACATCATATCTTAATATACAGAACTTAAAAATCTAACAGATATCTGCACTGAATCAGCCAACTTTGATTGAGGTGAGGAAGAACAGCTGGAACATCAGTTCTTAGATGAATAAACATTCAGTAGCTTTTAAATGAGTAAATATCAGTTACTTTGTATATTCTACTTTCTTTAGGGAAATTTCAGTCTTTTGGTTATTGTATGTAAAACATTGTTTGAGTCTCCTAAGTCTTCCTTGTTTGACATTTTGGCATTTACTCATATTAATAATATTCATTTATTTACTATTTAGTTTGTAATAATTATGTAACATTCTGAGTATTTTGGTAATGATGTCTTATATGACCAGACTATTATGATGAAGATGACAGTAAATCAATTTTAGGATTATCTCTTTGGAAAACAGGCTAATTTTGCTACCTTTCACTTTATTAGAATTCGCTTAACCTATAAAGTTAATTAGTACAATTCTGAGGTTACAACTCTACTGAAAAATGACAAAAATCTATCTTGTGCTTCAATCCAAAAAATTCTCATCTAATACTTATGAAATTGCCTACAGTAGCCTAAGGCATCGTTTGGAGTGGAAATGACACATCTGTGAGATTTTTAATGCTTACTGTGGAACTGTCCTTCTCAGAATTGATTCTAATACAAAAATAGGGTACTAATAAAAGGTTTCCTTGACAAGTAAATTTCCCTAGTAATAGAA